TAGCTACGTAGCTAGCTAGTTACCTCCCTATGGCCAGCTGGCTAGCTGCTCAGCCTCCCGGTTAGCTAGCTAGCTGTCTTGGTGCTGGCTAGGCGGGTGGCTAGCTAGCTAGCTGGCTAGCTAGCTGACTAGCTAGCTGCTAAGATGAAACGTTTAAGTTGGCCCTTAGTCTGCTGCTCGAACTGATAGAGACATTTGCAAAGGAACGCAAGGAGGAAGTCTTCAAAAGCAACAGCTGCTGCTGCTGCTGCAGCAACGGCAGCAGCAGCAACAGCAGCAGCAGCAACAGCAGCTGCAGCGTTTTGTGTGTTTGCTGCTGCAGAGTCTCGCTGACGGTCACTGTCTCCTCTCTGCAGCGGCTGCTGTGCTTTTCATCTGCTGCTGAATGTCTCTCCTTTTTGGAGCAGCAAAAGGCGGTCTTCAAGCAGCAGACAAAGCAGCAGCAGCAGCAGCAGCAGCAGCAGCAGCAGCAGCAGCAACTGGGGTCTCTCGTCGTGGACTGCAAGGCCTCTGTCCCCAACTTTGAGCTGTCTCCTCTGCTGAAGAAGAAGGTCCATGCCATGGGATGACGCAGCAGCAGCAAGTGCTGCAGCGGCAGCAGCAACAATTGCAGCAGCAGCAGCAGCAAATGCAGCAGCGGCAGCAGCATCTGCAGCAGCAGCTGCTGCTGCTGCAGCTGGAGCAGCAGCAACAGCTGTTGCTCGTGAGTAGCAAAAATACCTGTAGTAGCAAGTGCCGTTTTAGCAGCAGCAGCAAGAATTGCTGCTGCAGCAGAAACAGCAGCAGCAGCAGCAGCTGCTGCTGCGGTCCAAACTGTTTGTAAGATTTAAAAGGGACCTCTGCTGCACTTTTTGTGGCTTCATTTGCTTTTCGACTTGTCTGGTTTGCAGCTAGCTAGCTAGCTAGCTAGCTAAGTTGGGAGCCCTGACTAGCTAGCTAGCTAGCTAGCTAGCTAGCTAGCTAGTTATTAAGCTAGCTAGCTAGCTTAAAAACTAGCTAGCTAGCTTAAAAACTAGCTAGCTAGCTAGCTTAATAACTAGCTAGCTAGCTAGCTTAATAACTAGCTAGCTAGCTAAGTTAATGACTAGCTGGCTGTCCAGTTGATACTGCCTAGCAAGCTAGCAGCGAACTAACTAGCTAGCCAGCTAACTAGCTAGAGCTAGCTGGCTAGCTAGCCAGCTAGCTAAGCAGCTCCTTTAGCTAGCTGCTGCAACATTAGGAGATAACAAGGGCCGTCTTTTTGTCGTTTTTTTTAATTTAATTTTTGCTGCTTTATTGGCTTTTTTTTTTATTTTTCTCTTTTTTCTCTTTAGGATTTCCATCTTTTTTTTTATTTATTTTCTTTTTTTGTCTCTAAAAGGCGGTGCAAAAACATGCAATGGTGTTGCGTTGCTGCTGCTGCTGCTGCTGCTGCTGCTGCTGCTGCTGCTGCTGCTGTTGCGGTTGCTATTGTTTTCGCTGCCGCTGCTACTGCTGCGCTGCCGCCGCGGCTGCTGCTGCTGCTGCTGTTGCTGCTGCTGCTGTTCACTCTGTCGCTGCTACTGTTGCTGCTCCTGCTGCTGCTGCTGCTGCTGCTGCTGCTAGGAGGCGGGAGGCAGCATCCCAGTTGTTAATAAGTTTTACATGAAGAACTTGATGAATTAATTGTTTTAACATAAAGAAAGTTTTCCTAATTGCTGAGTTGCTGCTGCAGCAGCTGCTGCAGCTGCTGCTGGTTGTGCAATTGTTGAACTTGAATTTTTGCAAAATTGAGTTCATTGAAGTGCTGAGAAAGCGGGGTCTTTTTGAGAATCTTTGGTTCTTTTAGAAGCATTTCCTTTGAATTTATTTTAAAGAATTAATTCCAATTAAAATCCCTTTTGTTTATTTCCATTTGCTGCTGTTTCCGACACCTCCTTTCTCAGGAGGTGTACAGACACTCCCGCGGCTCGCTGGGCGGCAGCGCCTGCCGTTAAATTTTTCATTTTTGTCTTTTTTGAATTTAAAAAGGAGATAAATGAATTGAAATATGTTTTTAATTGCAAGACTTTGTTTTTTGCGTCTATTTAGTCCTTTATTCCCTCTCTTTTCAGCCTGCTGCAGCAGCAGCAGCAGCAGCAGCAGTTGCGCGCTCGCTGCCGCCCCCTGTGTCGATATCTTTTGCTGGGAAGATCGACGCAGGAAACTAATTGATTATTTTTTGAATTAAATAATTTGTTTCTTTATTAGACGGAGAGAGAACAAACTGCATTGCTGCTGCAGCTGCTGCTGCTGCTGCAGCTTCTCTCTCTCTGCATGCGCAGCAGACCACCCAGCAACGCCTCTGAATCGACAGCAGCAGCAGCAACAGCAACGACCCCAGATTAACCCCTCGCCCCTTCGACTGCTGCATCAGCAGCCCCCCCTCTCTCCGCCTCTGCTGCTGCTGCTGCTGCTGCACCCCAGCAGCAGCAGCAGCAGCAGCAGCAGCAGAATGGCTCCCTCGACGCCTCCCGCTCCGCAAGACAAGCGCCGCCGCGCC